ATGTTGCCCTTTTTTGAAATTTTCTTCTCCCTTTCATCTGCAATTTTGCTCACTTTTAAAAAAAATTAATTTAATTTAGTTTAATTTTACTTCTGAAAATACATTGTGCTTGATTTTCGTGCCCTTTTACCTGTTTCTCTCCACCCCTTCCCCCCCATCATACCTGTGCACTTGGCTTAAATAGTTCAGGGAACTTTTGTGGTTATTCTGTCTTCTTTCACCCACCCTTTATTTGTTTGTGTGTTTATTTATTTATTAATTTTTAGCTCCCACAAATAAGTGAGAACATGTGGTATTTCTCTTTCTGTGCCTGACTTGTTTCACTTCATATAATTCTCTCTAAGTCCATCCATGTTGCTGAGAATGGTGGTATTCCATTCTTTTTTATAGCAGAGTAGTATTCCATTCTGTGGATGTACCACAGTTTCCTTATCCACTATCAGAGGAAGGACATTTGGGTTGGTTCCAGCTCTGTGCTATTGTATATAGAGCTGCAACAAACATGGGAGTACAGGTATCACTTTGGCATGATGATTTCCATTCTTCTGAATATATTTCCAGCAGTAGAATCACTGGGTCATACGATAGATCTATCTGTAATTGTTTGAGGAACCTTTATATCATTTTCCATAAAGGCTGTACCATTTTGCAGCCCCACCAACAATGGATGGGAGTTCCTTTTTCTCTGCAACCTCTCCAGCACTTATTGTTCTCAGTCTTTTGGATGTTAGCTATCCTAACTGGAGTGAGATGGCATCTTGGTGTGGTTTTGATTTGCATTTCCAGGATGTTGAGTGATATTGAGAACATTTTCATGTGTCTGTTGGGCATTTGTATATCTTCCTTTGATAAATGCCTGTTCAGTTCCTTTCCCATTTTTTAATTGGGCTATTTTTTGTTGTTGTTGTAAAGTTGTTTGAGTTCTTTGTATATTCTGATATTAATCCTTTGTCAGATGTATATTTTACAAAAGTTTTCTCCCACTCTGTTGGTTGTTTTTTTACTCTGTTGATTGTTTCTTTTGCTGTGCAGAAGCTTTTTAGTTTGGTATACTCCCATTTGTTTATTTTACCTTTAGTTGCCTGTGTTTTTTGTGAACTATTCATGAATTCTGTACCAACTCCTACTTCCTGGAGTGTTTCCCCTATGTTTTTTTTAAGGAGTTTTATTATTTCAGGATGTATATTTAATTCTTTAATCCATTTTGAGTTGATTTTGGTATATAGTAAAAGATATGAGTCTAGTTTCATTCTCCTACATATGATTATCCAGTTTTCCCAGCATCACATGTTGAAAAGGCAGTCTCTTCCCCAGTATGTAGCTTTGCTGCCTTTGTCGAAGATCAGATGNTTTGATCCAGAATCCTGGGATCTGCTTGTGATTATTTCTGCTGGTGCAGTCCATAAACTGTACACAGTATCTTTTCCCACCAGAAATACCACAGGGTCTGCTGGTATATACAGGTCCTATGGCCTAAGTGGCAAGGCTGATTAAACCACAACCTGAGCCTGCTACAGAACATGTCCTTGATCGAGGCCCACTCAAAACTAGCATCCTTACAGGTCACTCAGTAAATACCCAGAGTAGCATTCCCAAGTGGAGAATATGCACCCTTCAAAATTCTAAGAACCAGGTTTTGTGTTTCTTTTTTCATATTGGAAGAACCAAGATGCAGTAATTTGTCCTTTACTTTGACAGACTGTCATAGGCTCTTACTACTGTAATATGCTGCAGAATGTCCATATGATCCAGGTCCCTTTGGATTATATTAAGACAAAGAACAGGATAGTTAACACACCCTGAGGCAAGAGTGACTTTATGCTGATGTCTGTCCCACATGAGTGTGAATTGCTTCTTGTCTTCCTCCTAGATAGGGTTAAAAAAAAGTGTCAATCAGATCAGTAGCCTTATACCATACTAAGGCCATGCTAATCAGTTTTAGTCATCTCTGGTGAAGCAGCTGCATTTGGGCCTACTGTTCAGCTGGTTTCGCATTAGCTTACTTTCATTCTGGAGGATCTATCTGACTGGTAAATTAAATGGGGATATGATGTGGTCCACCATCTCTACATCCTTTAGGTTTATCTTTTAGGGTGGCAATTTTCTCTTCCATTCCTCCTGGGATGCAATTTTATTTTTGTTTACTATATATACATACATACATGCACACACACACACACACACACACACACACACTACACATATATGTTTTTTGGTTTATATTAAGATTTATTTTTTTAATTTAATTTAATTTAATTTTACTTCTGAAAATACATTGTACTTGATTTTCGTGCCTTTTTACCTGTTTCTCTCCACCACCCCCCACACCCCCCATCATACTTGTGCACTTGGCTTAAATAGTTCAGGGAACTTTTGTGGTTATTCTGTCTTCTTTCTCCCACACTTTATTTGTTTGTGTGTTTATTTATTTATTAATTTTTAGCTCTCACAAAAAAGTGAGAATATGTGGTATTTCTCTTTCTGTGCCTGACTTGTTTCACTTAATATAATTCTCTCTAAGTCCATCCATGTTGCTGAGAATGGTAGTATTCCGTTCTTTTTTATAGCAAAGTAGTATTCCATTCTGTGGATGTACCACAGTTTCCTTATCCACTATCAGAGGAAGGACATTTGGGTTGGTTCCAGCTCTGGGCTATTGTATATAGAGCTGCAACAAACATGGGAGTACAGGTATCACTTTGGCATGATGATTTCCATTCTTCTGGGTATATTTCCAGCAGTAGAATCACTGGGTCATACGATAGATCTATCTGTAATTGTCTGAGGAAACTTTATATCATTTTCCATAAAGGCTGCACCATTTTGCAACCCCTCGGACAATGGATGGGAGTTCCTTTTTCTCTGCAACCTCTCCAGCACTTATTCTTCTCAGTCTTTTGTATGTTAGCTATCCTAACCGGAGTGAGATGGCATCTCGGTGTGGTTTTGACTTTGCATTTCCAGGATGTTGAGTGATATTGAAAACTTTTTCATGTGTCTGTTGGGCATTCGTACATCTTCCTTTGATAAATGCCTGTTCAGATCCTTTGCCCATTTTTTAATTTGGCTATTTGTTTTTTTGTTGTAAAGTTGTTTGAGTTCTTCATATATTCTGATATTAATCCTTTGTCAGATGTATATTTTACAAAAGTTTTCTCCTGCTCTGTTGGTTGTTTTTTTACTCTGTTGATTGTTTCTTTTGCTGTGCAGAAGCTTTTTAGTTTGTTTATTTTACCTTTAGTTGCCTGTGCTTTTTGGGAACTATTCATGAATTCTGTACCGACTCCTACTTCGTGGAGTGTTTCCCCTATGTTTTCTTTAAGGAGTTTTATTATTTCAGGATGTATATTTAATTCTTT